AGAAAATAATGCATAGTTCCGAAGATTATTCTTTGGAACAATTACAGAAATATTTGTGCATTGAGGAAGAGTCAGAATGAGAGATAAGAATGAAAATTCTTGTGAAGGCACTTCCAAGGCTAATGCGGTGGAGAAAACTAAACCGCTTGCAAAATCCAACAAGAGGAAGCCTTCTAGTAACTTCAACAAGTCCAAGAAGAAGACCAAATGACGGTATTTTGTGTGTGGAAAACCTGGACACTACGCAAAAGATTGTAGACATCGGAAACAAAACAACTTTGAATGTAAAATAAATTTCATCCAAGAAGACAAGATATTGGCCACTGTTAGCGAAATAAATGCGATCAAGGGAAAGGTTCCCGGGTGGTGGTATGATACTTGTGCAACTGTGCATGTATCATATGACAAATCTTTATTCACTATATACCATGAGGTGGATGGAAATCAAGAGATCTAAATAGGCAACAAGGTCCGATCAAAAGTAATTGGCAAGGGAAATGTTGATATCATCTTCATTTCCTGGAAGATCGTTACTTTAATAAATGTACTTTATGTTCCCGACATGAATAGGAATCTAATGAGTGGAAATCTCTTGGGAAAATCAGGCATAAAGTGTATTTGAGTACAGTAAACTTATATTATCCATAACAAAAGATTTGTTGGAAAATGCTATTCTTGTGAAGGAATGATCAAATTGTGTACCGTTGACAAATTTTTGATTAATAAAGTTGATTTTGCTTATGTCGTTGATTTATTTTCATTATGACATGATAGATTAGGTCACATTGGTAAAAGTATAATGCATATAATGATGAAATGTGATTTGATTTCATATGATGTAAATGATGAATTTAAATGCAAAACATGTATAGAAACTAGAATGACTAAAAGACCATATCAAAGTGTAAAATGGACCTCAAGTATCTTAGAGTTAATTCATTCAGATATATGCGAATTAAATTGAATGCTAACTAGAGGTGGAAATATGTATTTTATTACCTTTATTGATGATTTCACTAGTTACACTTATGTTTATCTTATGAAGCATAAA